GTAGGGCTCTTACGTTGGGAAGAAGTTCACGAAGCTCAATCCCAGGAGCTGCGATATACCCATGAGGGAAAAGATATGCACCTTTACATCTTTGCAGGCTAATTTTAGGCCTGTCCACATCCTATGGTGGTCCTTAAGCGATGCGAGAATATATGTGATTCGATGTTATGCTGTGCTCACGATTCGCCTTCGCGGTCCTGATCCGCTTCACCTGCATCCTCTGCGAGCCGGGCTTGGGCTAAACGCCTCTCCGTGGGTGATAGCCAACGTGTATTCACAGGCTGACGGAATAATTAATTAGCTTCATGAGAAAAGGCCTAGAGAGGTGACGAACGTAGTCAGGCAATGCCCACATAGAAAAGAAGCCAACGCAGATGGTAATGGCACCCTACAGGCAAATTAGTCTTGCAATAATTGAAAATCATGTCCAGTTTACTTCGATGTAGAATAGCCTTGTAAAGATCGCTTTAGTACCCGTACTAAACAAACAGCAACTGTAACAATATGTTCACCATCTCCAGCCGCGTATACCCCTCGCACCCTCCAGTCCGGAAAGTATCCCAGCAGCAAATAACTGTATCTAACATCAATCATCTTAACGAATAATGACCAGGAAACGACTTACACTGCCAAAAGCATTTGATACAAGTAGGCCGCCATAAAGGATAGCAGACCTAAAAGCCAATTCCTAAAGAACGTTCGATTAATTATGAACAATGTCAGTAGAGTAATTGATGAGTACCTTTCGTGTGTACCATCTTGAAAGAAGATACATGGCACCAGGATAGAACGCGGCTTCCGGAAGACCAATGAAGATTCTGCATGCAATTATTCCGCCAAATGAATGGGTAATCTATACGACAAGATATTTGACTAATGGAAAGGCTAGCGATCAAGGACGACATACGCCCGTCAGAGCACTCGTCAGACCCCAGAGAACGACACATGTTCCTATATACAGTGAAGGTCTGACGAAGCGTCAACGTCTGACAAGGATAAATTCTGCGGTGTTACCTCGTCACATAATTGAGGGCCTTGTTAAAGAGGTGGGTGACACTGACTAAGCATACTCTAAAGCGTTGTCCTTGATAGAACATACCATATTGGATGGAATTTGTGCAGGGCAATATGAGACATATAGAATAGCAACGACAGTATCATATTGAATGTCTATGAAGGCCAAATGAGTATGTTCGTCCTGAATAATCATGATCTCAAGCGTACTTACCAGAAAGGCCGAGATCTTGTTCGAGACCTTTTAACCTTGCGGTTGTCACGGCGGTCCTCTACATAAGTATCAGTCAATGTCCTATTGGAAAAAGAAAACTCTATTCACATCGATATAATTCATCAGATAAATAAGAATTATCGTTGGTAAAAGACGCATGTCGAGCTTTCGGAGTAATCGCTTTTCCTCTACTTTGCGCCTCCCAATATCCAAGATGGCTGCGCTGGAGTCCGAGATCGCATCATCCTCTGCTTTCGCTGACCTCTTGCTTTCTACTGAGACTTTCTCTGTGGATGGCTCCTCTATGGCGGGACTTTTGGGAGTAGAGTCTGGCATTGGTTTGGAAGCGGCCATGCTGATATAGGCGGAGTATGGAAGACTAAGTTGGACGGAGATAGAGGAAGAGCGGTACGCTGCAGACAGTACCGGTACGACCTAAGAAGCAGCAAGACGTACGACACCTGGCCTGATTAATTCCGCTGGGGCCCTCCAAATTCGATCATGGAGTAGTGACGCGCTTTAAAAGGTCAGCACTGTTGCTTTCACGGGCCGTCTTTGCATTCATGAGCGCTATTGATATTTTCGCTTCGGCACGCATAGAGTTTCAACCTTGCGTAATTATGTTGGAAGCATATCCCAAAATAGCCTCGTGTTCTCGCAACTTCAATAATAGAACACACAAAATCGTACAAATAGATTTCATTCAGTATATTCCATACCTTAGTAGAGATTCCTGAATCCTCGCTTTCTCTCCATTGCCTCCTCAATCGTGATACCCTCCAAACGCGCAAATTCCTCGATACGTTGGCGATTTGCACCCTTAAGTGCACCTAATTCGTCTCTATCCAGTTTTGCATTCTCATATTTCAGCATGCGTCGTAACACTGCCGACGTGTCTCAGTCAGACCAGAAAAGCGATTCAAGGTGAGTGATTGACTTACCGAAGGCGAGGGAAGAGCTAAACGCGAGTGCCGCGATACCGATAAACATTGATTGGTGATACGCTGGGCCCCATTGAGCTTTCCAGGCGAATGAGCCGACCCTGTAATGCAGTACCGAGACAACGGATGTCAGTTTAGTCAAGTGAGAAAAAAAGATGAGTCGTAATATATATAGGGAACGGAGCGGAGAAGGACGTACAAATTCCCGATGTTTCCGAACCCATTTACAATCCCCATTGCTACCGCGCGCTTCGTCGGCGGACGCGGAATGGCGTTGGACACCCAGACCAAAGTTAGCGCGAAGCCTATAAAGTACATGCGTGCACATTTTGCAAGGAGAGATCGACGGTTTATATTAAGAGTTTGTGTCAGAGATATTAAAAGATTTCTTCTCAGTATATTCGACAGGAAAGGAGATATAGAATGAACGGGGAAAGTGCGACGAACCAGCATATCCACTTGCCATTAGGAACATCGCGACATACCGACCACCAACGGAGAACGTTGATACGCCGATGATATAGCCAACCATAACACCCCACCATGGTACGGTAATATGTAAGAAACGTTCTCCTGATCGGTCTAGATCGCAAGGATATCAATCATTCGGCTTGCCTTGGCATGAGTTGGTATACAACGCACCAGCATGAAAGGCGTTCGAGCAGCAAACAATAGAAGCGAAAATCCAAGGTGGGCTATAAAACACGCCTGTTTAGCCGTTTACTAGCTTCATTCGTCAGGGAAGTAGGCTTACGCAGCAAGGAGCAGACCAATAGTGGTGTTGAAGCCTAGAGTCGCTGTAAGTCTATATTACAAGGGTGTGTAGTCAGAACGATTGCTATCTTCCGTGAATCGGTGGAGAAGGTAGTCAACTTACGTTGGGAAGAAGTTCACGAAGCTCAACCCTAGGAGTTGCGATGCAGTCATGATAGAGAAGATGGCCACTTTTATATCTTTGCACGCAAGCTTCAATCCAGTCCACATTCTAAATGCGTCGTGAGCAACGTAGCATTCGTAGACTTGATTGCCTGTCCTGCTTACGATTCGCCTTCACGGTCCTGATCCGCTTCACCGGCGTCCTCTGCAAGCCGAGCTTGTGCTAAGCGCCTCTCAGTGGCGGATAGCCAGCGCGTATTCACAGGCTAGGACATACTGGATGAGTTACCTGGTGACAATTACAGACGGACAGACGGACATAGTCGGGCAATGCCCACATGGAAAGGAATCCTACACAGATTGTGATGGCACCCTGCAAGAAGAATTATGTTGGTTCAAGATCGAAAACACGTTTGATTTCACCTCAATGTAGAATAGCCTTGTGAAATACATGTAGATATCCTGTCAAATGAAGACTGTAAATAGAAGAGCGCTTACCATCTCCAGCCACGTATACCTCTCGTGCCTTCCATACCGGAAAGAATCCCTGCAGCCAGCAACTGCGACAGAAACGATTAATTTTCGACGAATAATCACAGGCAATTGAGGCTTACACTACCAAATGCATTTGATATGAGAAGACCGACGTAAAGAATTGCAGACCGGAAAGCCAATTCCTTGAGATAGTAAGATTGATATGCGTCCGATTCTCGAACACAGCATACGTGAATACCTTTCGTGTATACCACCTTGAAAGGAGGTACATAGCACCTGGATAGAAAGCAGCTTCCGGAAGGCCAATGAAAACTCTACACGCCATTATACCGCGAAATGAATGGGTAATCTGTTCAGAAGACGTATTGTCAGTACTCGTATTGCCATAACGCACTATGCTTACTCCGGTCAGAGCGCTCGTCAAACCCCAAAGAACTACACAGGTTCCAATATACAATGAAGGCCTAACGTAAGATACATGAATTCCGTAAGTTCATAACGACGGAAATAGCAGGCCTACCTTGACACATAATTTAGGATCTTGTTAGAAGGATACGTATTAGATTTGCTTGCACAGAGTATGCTCCGCAAGACATACCATATTGGAAGGAATCTGTGCCGGACAATATGAAACGTATAAAATAGCCACGACCGCATCGTATTGAATATCTGTATATGGAGCACTATAAGCACTCGAATCCGTTCACATGCATCCAAGAAATGCTTTCCAGATAGACCAAGATCCTGCTCGAGCCCCTTTAACCTCGCAGTCGTCACAGCCGTTCTCTACAAAGGCTTGAGTCAGAAGAAGCAAGTAATATGCAAATTGGCTTACATCAATATAATTCATGATGAAAATGAGAATTATTGTTGGCAGAAGGCGCATGTCGAGCTTTCGAACTAGACGTTTTTCTTCTGTTCTTCGTCTCCCCACGTCTAAGATGGCGGCACTAGAATCCGAAACTGCATCATCCTCTACCCTTACTGATCTCTTGCTCTCCACTGACTCCTTCTCCACACCAGTCCCTTTGGTGATGACTCCTTCACTTAGTTTCGGTGCAGAATCAGACATGCTGATATTGACCGAGAGCACAGAAGAAAAACAAGTTGAGGTAGGGATGCAGAAGAGTGGTGCAGCGGGCAGAAGTAAATGACGTTCAATACACAGTGCTGCTAAGTAGTCTGGCCGGATTAACTCCGTTGAGCACTACTGTTTTCAAATGCGGCATACAGTAGCACTTTATAAGCCCAGAGAATTCGTCACTTTCACGGGCCGTCTTAGCGCACATGAGCAGTCCGAACACTGTAGCTTACCGGCAAACAGAATTCTGCCCTTGAAAATGAGGGGTGAACACACATCCGCTATGAGGCAAGGATGTTCTCGTGACACGCTGTGGGCGCCATGAGAACATCGAAGCAACGAATTCATCGGCACCATATTCGGACTGGTTGAACGCTTCCATTGACACTGTCATTTGCGGGAGAAAAACGCTGCCTGGGATATTCTTGGGCTACCATAATCACGCAGGGCAGAGATGTGTTTGAATGGAAGGCAGCGTCCAGGATAGTGCTCCGCGCGTAGCGTATACGCTTACGCGCGTAAATTCTCTAACGTATACGCATACGCGCGTATTTTCAGCTCCAAAAGTCATTTACGATACGCTGCGTAACCGTATACGCTGAAGGCGTAACCGTAAATTACGCTACGGTGCGGAGCACTAGTCCAGGACTATTGACGAGCGGACTTTCGAGTCATTGACAGTTTTACAAGAATTTTTATTATAGAGAACTGACCGGTCTCGAACGCCCCTCTTTATGATCGTCGCTCGTGAAGCTTCTATGTTGCCTTAATTCTTGAAAACCTCCTCGAATGCTGACTGTTGGAGGTTCCATCACACGAATCACACAAGGGAGGTTGTCATATTTGCAAGGTACACTACGCTACTAGATACACTTGCACAGGGGGGTTGGAAGGGACAAAATCAGCTACAAAAACTCCAACCTCTATGGCTTAAAAGATATATCCTAAGATCCAACAGGTAAAAAAGGAAAAAGGGGAATAAAACCTGCTGGGCAACACACTTGCAAGAAACAAAGCAAGTGATTTAGGACAAGTCGAATGTGGAAAGGGAAGGGGGAAATTAAAACAAGGGGGGGGTTAAGGTAAGGAAAAGGGAGACAGGGGATGTGTCCTTAGGAGGGGATCTGTAGGATGAAGGTGTTCTTTATGCTGCACAAGACTGAGGCAGCAGGTGAGGTATATGCAGCATGGATAATGAGAGCAGTAGAACTTGCTGTGACTGGCACAAGCAAGGCCAGACCGGTTGTACAGTTGGTCTGTTTCAGCTACTGTCATGAGGTAGTGGTTGAAGAGGAAGTGTGCAAAATCCACTACAGATATTGTGTGTATGTGGATTAGGAGTTCCTCATGGAGACCTTTGGCTGTAAGAGTGTGTTTGGCCAAATTGATGGTCTGTAATAGGTTAGATTTCACCCTCAAGGTAGCAGCATTGGCTGGCTGCTGTTGTAGGCATAGAGAAGGAGGGGGAACATGAGGTGAAGAGTCGACTTCTTCTGGACCCTTGTGTTACAGGTGAGGCTTGATGCCTTGTGGCAGAGTTGTGTTGACTTGGTCCACAACCATAGGTTGTTTACTAGGGGGAGCAAACTGGTTAGTCAGTAGGCTGTTCAGTGTTTCACTTGCTGACATTAGCTCTACACTCATCAGTAGAGTCAGGTCTGGGTTTATGACAGGGTGCTCAACCAAAGTGGGAGTACAGGTGTTAGGTACAGTAGGGTGGTGTTGAGTCCTTTAACAATACTGTGTGTGGGTAGCTTGTCTGAAGGCTGTAAGGAGAGAAGATTACTGCTATTCACAATACTGAGACATAACAGTTTGAAGAGTATGAAGAGTGGAACTGTAGCTCATTGTAAATGTAGAGAATATTTCTCAAGTATAGGTAGATAGTGGTTACAGGACAAGGGAGGTTACAAGACCTTAGTCAGTGACCTTAAGAGAGTATGTGTTGTCTGACATAATAGAACACATGCATTACACCTCTACAAGCTTAGGGACTAGTGTAGATAAGCTTATCTGCAAATCTGCACTGTGGATAGAAATTCTCACAAATACTGTATCCACAGATGAGATTCCCACAGATACTACAGATTTCACAGTCTCTACATTATTGTAGTAGAAAAAAAAATACTAGCCATTACTACTCATTTTGCTAATTCAGCAATATATACACTACTTAATATGCTTCAAAATAACTTGCTAATATCTCCTTAGACTCCTTTTCACCAAAATAATAGTAGAAGTACTGGCTGTAATTTTATACAACACAAAACATCTTCAAATTATAGTTACTATAGTCTGGTTCTGGACTAGTCCACCCCTCCTTTACCTGGACTGTAACCCAGACCTCTTTATACAGTCCAGGTAAAGGAGGGACCTGGATCTGAACCTTTGTAGACTACTATTAGACCAGACCTGAGGTCCAGTCTAGGTCTGGTCTAGGTATGACCTAGACTAGTAGAACTTATACTTACAGTCAACTTAAGAGTGTATCTCTAATATGAGTAGAGGAGTTCAAGCATTCTACAACAAATAGTGTTTATTCTTTTTTTTGTAATATGTAGCTAGTACTTTATACTAGACTATTTATAAAGAGAATAATAATAAGTTTTAAGAATTTCAATTGCTTCAAAAGTTTCTGGAAGAAGTCAGTTACACTACTTTGTATTTACAAGCTCTACACCTGAAAACACACACTTATAAAGTACAGAGGAGCCTTGTATAGTAAGGTAATCCTAAGCTATGTAAGTAAGAATTAGATAATAAATACTATTCTCCTAAAAAAGAGAGTTAGTACAAGGAATGAATGAAATATATAAGCTCTACTAGAACAGTACTAGGGAAGTACTGAACACTGTTGTGAATTGTAACAATTGTGCTACCTGTGCATTTGTACAACATGTGTTGTAGGTGCTTGTAAGTGTTTTCCTTTTTGTTTACTAGACTACCCTGTATTCTACTACACATGTATATGTATATATAAAGGGTTTTCGAGCTAACAGTTAGGGGATTCTTTCTCCTTCTTGGTGCTTGATTACTAGGTTATCCTAGTCAGTAGTTGAGTGTGCTAGTAAAGAGAGAATCTTTGTGTAAGGCTAGTATACCTATCCTTACACATTTTTGACTAAACCTACCTTTCTATAAACCTGCTAGGCTTTGATGACTGGAACTGAGGGCTTAATCACCCTAATACATTCCTCACATTGTCTAGTACTCCTTCAAATTCAAAGAAATCAGTGAGTAGTTTGCAAATCTAAATTAGAGACACATATATTCTTACTATAACTACTAGGATACTCAGAATACTTGAGGGACACAAACAGATTGTTCCCCTCAATGTAGAGAGACCTCCTTGTTAAAATTGTAAGAGGTGAGTGTTATTCAGAAGTGCTGAAGAGCAGCTTTCCCTGAATGTAGAGAGATTTGAAACAGTACACACTACAGATTTTGAATTAACAGAGTATGTAGACAATAGACAACAAGATTATCTGTTGAGTACTAAATATGATGTGACCACCAAGCCTTAGCAGACAATCCTGGAAGGGCCTCCAAGTCTGAAAGTCACTATTAACATACTAGAGAATAAGTCCTCATCTGTTACAGACTGGAGGCAATCTAATAACCCTTTGCCAGGTGATAAGTCCTTGTCTATACAAGGCTGGAGGCACTCTAATAAACTATTATATACAAGTAATGTAGAACAAAGGCATGTACCTGTACTAGTGTATATTGTTAGACTAATACACACTATAGAGTAGACACTAGTGAGTGCTTACCTTACTAGGCTCACAGAAGTAGATAATAGTAGTACAGAGAGTGTAAACACTCAGGAAACTGGCATTAAGGATTCTGTTAGTAAGAACAAGAGTATTAGTAAAGGAACAACACTTTCCTTATAGTAGGAAACATTCTAGAAGGTTAGAAAGACATTCAGAAATGTCCCTAGGCTAGAGACACTGAAAGCTATAAGTAGGCTAGCCAGTCTATTCAATCAAGGAATTGATATTGAGGAATTGAACAAGAGAACTTATAAGTATAATAGTATACATTAGGAACATGAAGGAAACATTGATTTAGACACAATTAATTTATCTAAACTAACTAGAGACAAGTTAGCTAAATGGATGTATCAGAAAGTACATTATTAACACTCAGAAGCTACTAAAGGAATGTCCAAACAATTAGAAGATACTCTACAGTTTGAAAGCACACATCCTTAGAAGAAAGATCTAGGTAAACCTGTACCTAGTAATAAGAAAAGTGTAAGAGCAAATAAAGGAAAAGCTCCAGACATTTGTAATTACAGTCAGGTAGAACTAGACAGTTCTAGTGAAGCAGATTCTGATGTACAAAGAATGTATTTTCAGGAGATAGAGTACAGACAAAATGTAGAATTAGGACAATAGAATTTCAGAAATAAAGGCTATAGTAAGGCTCCCAGAACTCCTCAGGAATTACTGGTTCGTTTCAAGCAAGAAATGTATTGCCCCAAGATAGAAAATCAAGGTAAGGACACATACTACAGATACAACACCCTAGCAGGGCAAGGAGATGCATTACAGAATAAAATACCTGTATATATGTACTATTATACTAATGTTCAAGGATTGACACATACACCCAGTGTGAAACACAATATTAAAATGAACAGACCAAACTCAGACATGAAACTTACAGTCCTGGATACATCTGATGACAGTAAAGACGAATCAGAAACTGTAAAAGGTAAAGAGAGCAAGGAAAAGAATCTCTACTACAGTTCTGTACCCTCTATCAAGTACAGTATAGATAGGAATAGTAAAGGCCACAAAAAAAGAACTATGCAAGATACTGCTGAGCCACAAAGCTCAAATACACTACAGACAAATAGCTTCACATTAGTAAGACTCTCAGACAACCTTGCAAGTGAATTGTGTAATACAGAGAGTAGAAATTGTAAAAAGGTAGGATCCTGACCTGGATCCAGGCAATAGCTCTTTGGATTCTTTGGATTC